ATCTAGGGCTCAGACCGTGGGAATCCAGGGTTGTGCTTACTCTTCAGTGAAAGGTCAGAAATCAGTCACAAGGAATAACCAGAGCAGGGTGCGGGGCTATTTAAATAATGGGGCATTCAGCGCTGGCAATGAAGATTATAAATCTGGTTAAAAACCAAGAGATTAAAACTGATTCTGGTCAGCCGGCATAAAAATAATTAGCTCTTAACTGCATTAAACAATATCCCAAATTGATAAGATTTCTAGAAACGAGAAGACCTCTGAGACTGAGCCTCTAGGAATAAAGGGCAGCTGTCGGGGCCCCTAACTATATGCAGGCTCACCTCCTCCCTCCCTCATTCTCGCCTCCCTTCATTTACACTGCGCTCCCCAGGGCTAAGCCTCCCTGCCTCCCTGGAGCTGAGTCAGGTTGTCTGTAACCGCACTCGAATCTGGGGGTGTGCTGAGGCATACTGCCTTCCTTGATGTGTGGACCGTGTCCAAACATCCCTGGTCTCCCCTACCTGACTTGTCAGTGGGAGTGGGCAGCAGAAAGTGTGCTCGAGACGTTCGCTGTGTGGATTGCAGACAAGGTCCCGCGGGCAGGGAGGTTGGGGAGGCCAGGGGACGAGGCTTCGCACGGGCCACCGTCTACACTTCATTGATTCTTCTTCGTGGCTTGCTCCATCCTGGATCTTTCTCTCAAGGGCCAATACTCTCCCACGCTCTGTGTCACTGTCTGTACCGTTTTAATCGCAGGGACCCTTTGAGCAGGGATGGTAACAGCGATCTGCCCTTTGTTTCTCAAAAATATGAATAACCACAGCCACGCTTGTCCAGGGCTTAGAAGCCTACAAGACCATCTGAGAGCATGTCTCCTTCCATCTGCTTGGGAATCCTCCCACTGGGCATCGGAAGCGTAAGGTGACTTGCCAAACAAAGGTCATGCAGAGGCCAAATGACAAAGCCAGGACTCGAACCCGGGTCTTTGACTGCCGCATGCCGCCTCCGCGGGGGAACGGTCTGAGTCAGCCACAGAAGGCTGTAAAAAGCCCAGACCCCTTTTTACAAACAGGACCCTCGCCCTTGGCCTGTCCTGGGTCTGGGGCCAGCTCACATGCTTAGGACCCAGTGCTAATGAGGCTGGGGCCCAGGTTTGGTCCCAAAGAGCTTCACTTCGTCCTCTAGCTGCTCACTGGCCCTGTCTGGTTGTCCTGCCCTTAGTCGAAGGGACCCACAGCACAAGTTGCAGCCCAGGGAAATGGGTTCCAGTGCTAGGTCCTCATCTGAAGCAATGGTGCTGCTGATGGACGGTCAGTGGCATTGTCCTTCTAGAAGGAGGGTGACTGTAGGACTCTGGCCATAGCCAATGACGACACTGAATACTGCCTTTAGACTGGACAGCTGGAGCCACTTGCCTTGGGCCCCGTGCTTTAGAAGGCTCCCCTCTGTCCTGGGCCGCATTCCTTCACGTGGGCGTGAAAAGTCTACAGGGCCAAAGGGACAGGCCTGCACAGAGCCTACGACCCTCTTCTAGACCACACTCTGGCTGCCCAGGGCCCCGAATTCCCTGCCTAAATGTATTCTGAGACTGCTCAGGCCTCTTCACCGGGCCGGTGCCCCTGGGAGTTCAGTGAGTCCTGCTAAGCCTCAGGAGGCGGGCAGGGGGTCTGTATACATAAGGTTCCCAGGGAGGGACAGACCCGGGGGTGGGGGGTGGGGTGGGGAAGAGGGCTGGTCATGAACCTGGGCCGTCGTCTGGGTCCCACAAACATGGAAGTGGGATGACAAAGGGTAAGGGAGGCCTGGTAGATGTCTCCCAGAATTGAGGATCTAGTGCCGAAAAGGAAATGAACAGGCCCAGCCTGCCAGGAACGTGATTCTGGAGTGAAATCGGGGGCCGTTTCTAGGCCAGAGGTGAAGGTACACAGAGAGCAAGGCCTCTTGATCAGGCTGACCACCATGTGCAGGAGTCATGATTATCCAGCGCAAATCCCCAGCCCACCACTGAGGGTTATTCTACTTCTGAGCAGCCACTGGGGATTGACTGCTTAATGTACTCCAAATAATGCAGGTGTCATCTAATTAATCCTTCACAACTCTAAGGCTAATAATAGAATCCCAATTTATAGGTAAGGAAATAAAGCTCAGAGAGGTTGTGTAAGGTGTCCAAGGTCACACAGCGTGTAAGTGGTGGCGGCAACCTTCGCACTCAGGCCATGATTCTCAAGCCGACACTGGACTCCCAGGGCGCTGGTCCACCGGCAGTGGCAAGTAAGTCAGTAGCTACGACAATAGAGCTCTTTACAGCAAAGCAGACCTGCACATTTAAGGATTGGGAAGGCTGTTGCAGTCCCTGACGACAGGCTCATAGAATCATTCAGTAAGAGTTTACTGTCTGTGTCTGCATGCCAGACACTCTGCTGGGTTCGGAGCCTTGCAGATGAGTCAGCTACAGTCCTGTCTTCAAGGAAAGGGGAGCCGGGGTTCTTAAACTATAGTGTGCACCAGAATCACCAGGAGGGCTCGCTAAGTCCAAGATTGCTGGGCCCACCCTCCCAGCTTCTGAGTCAGCAGGTCGGGGTGAGGTCTGAGGATGTGTATTTCCAACAAGGCCCCAGGAGACGCCGATGCTGCTGGCCTGGGGGACCCCACTTTGAGACACACTTTGGTAAAAGTGCCAATCAAGAGCCCCTCGGTGAGTTGTAAGGCAAAGTGGAACCCCACCGCTCTCCCTTCCCCAGGCAAGTGGAATGAGGAGAAAGTAAACTTGAAACTCCTCCTTGAAGGAGAAACCGTTCCAAAGCTTCCCCAGAGGCAGCATGCTGACCCGCGGGGTGAAGGGGAGGCAGGGGAGCATCGCCCTCGTGAGCGGGCCAACCCTCTGAGCTCCAGCTGGCTGGCCCAGCACCCCTCTAGCTGCCTGTCCCTCCAGGCTACTCCTTTGGTTTTGACTCCGGTGACATCCACAGAGATCTTATTTCCAACCAGAGGGGCGGGGAGGGAGGGCCAGAATTCCCAGGAATGCCTTTTCAAATCATTATTTATTTCGGGGTGCGTAAGAGAAGGGAGATGTCCTGGGTCGACAGGAACTGAGAATTGCCAGGCTGATGACCTGCCTTTCCTCTCCTCCCCGCAAAATTGCCCAGAGGATGATCAGCAAGAAAGGCAACCTCTAGGGTAGGTAAATAAAAAATAGAGAGATGGAGGGTTGGCTGGGAGCCCCTGCGGATTAACTAACTAATTAATCCCCACAAGAGTTTGACGAGGAACTAATTAATCCATTAAGCGCTTTGAGGGGCCAAGGCCTGGCCGAGTGCAAGGAGAGGCTTCTCTCCCTTGGGAGGCTGCGGTGGAGAGTAGCCCTTCCCAGGGGCCTTCCGGGAGGGCGTGTGTGAGGATCGTACCCCCCAAAAGGGGTACGTCTCCCCCCGCATGGGAATCCTGCCACTACATGACCCTGCAGCCAGGCTTGCTGTCCTTCTGCCCAGAGAACCAAAAGAAGGAACTCTGGGGGGAGCCACGCGGCCCTAGAGCTGGAGAAGGCCCGGGAGATCCACTTTACAGATGGAGAATAGTGTCCACCTTACTCTGACGCGCTCTTTGGACCCAGAGACAACCGATGTTTGTTGATAGCCATTTCTTCTCAGCACCCAGGCAAGGGGAATTAATATTTTCCTGTAGGTGTTGACTTTAACTCCACCTGGGCACTCAGCAGGTGTCAAGATCTTTCTAAAATCAAATCATTGAGGGTCTGATTAAGACTAAGTGATCGCTTTATCTCTACGTGAGTTTTCACACACTTTGGTCACAGCACATTGAGGTGGGTGATGCCCAAAGCCTGCTGAGATCTTTCCGACCCTTTGTTTTTCTGACGTTCTGTAATCTTCTGGGCGCTGGAGCGCTGTTTGCCTCCTGTTACAACCTGATCTCAGAAATCATCTGATGCAGCCACCTGGGAATATAAACTACCCTTACCTTTCCCAGAGAAAGGTTTTTTTAGAAAGGGAGTGGGGAAGGAGGAGCAGAGGGAGAGAGAGGATCTTAAGCTGGGTGTGGAGCCCGATATGGGGCTCGATCTTCACAACCCTGAGATCATCAGGTCATGACCTGAGCCAAAATCAAGAGTCAGACACTGAAGGGACTGAGCCACCCAGGTGCCCATCCCACTTCTTTAGATTCTTCTCTCTCGGCCCCGCAGCCAAAGGGATAAAGGAATGTCTAAGACCAGGCAGCATGCACTACGAAATTCTGGAACACTCTTGGGATCACAAAGTGAGATACGTAAGGGGCAGACTGTGGTGGGAGGAGCGCAGAAGGATGCTGGGTAGCAGCCCTGCCCCCGACGAGTCACTTAATAAACAAGCGCCCATGCGGACTTGCTTCCAGGTGCGGGGCGTGCAAGGTTGAACTGGACATGATTCTGCACCCCGCAAGGGGCCCCTGTCTAGTCGAAGGGAGGGAAGGGGCAAAGGTCAAGCAGAAGTTGCCATGGTGACTGAGCACGGTTGGCCCCTGTGAGCCCAGACTGCACCCTCCAGGTTGGGATCAGCGGGGGCCACTGAGTCACGGGCTGGGACCGGTAGATGGCAAAGCTTGCAAAGCTGCCCTGAGGCGGAGTCTACAGTGTGATTCTCAAGCTTTGCTGGCAGGCAAGATGGGGATGGATTCTTTTTTTTTAAAACCCATAGTGCTGAGCTCCGCCCAGGAGTTTCTGATTCAGTTGGTCTGGGGTGGGGCCCAAGGATTTGTCTTTCTACCGTGTTCCTAGATGTCTAATGCTGCTGGGCCCAGGCACCACACTTTGAGAACCACCTTTGTAGAAAGTTCTGATCCGCCCGAGGTGCAGTGAAAGAGGGGCATGTCAACCAGGACCTCCAGGCTCTGCACAGAGAGACAGCCGAGTGCGCCATCCACGTCATTCATCTCCAACAGAGGATTTTGCCGCTGCTTTTACTATCTGTTTGGTGGTTTGGTTGTTTGAGAGTGGTTTATCTCTTCTGTATTTGTGTTTTGCACAGAGTGAAATGGACGAGAACCAAATCCAGATGGCTGGAGACGATGTAGACTTGCCCGAAGATCTCCGGAAAATGGTAGATGAAGATCAAGAAGAGGAAGAAGACAAGGATTCTATTCTTGGGCATTTACAGAATCTCCAGAACATGGACTTGGATACCATAAAAGAAAAAGCCCAGGCCACCTTCACGGAAATGAAGCAGACGGCAGAGCAGAAATGTTCTGTGATGTGAGGGGCCAGGTGGGCTGGAGGAAGGAACAGGGTCAAGATGGAGGTGACCACTCTCCTGAGGAGCATTTCCAGCAGCGTATACTTAAACATAATGAACACAGAATAAGCATGATGAGAAAGCTCTCCAGAAAGTAGACAACAACTTGATGTTCTAAATGTTCCTGGTAGAGCGCTTAGCTAGCACCTTGCAGTAGGAAACATACTTTCCTTTTAGTTACCAATGTGGCTCAGTGTGAAATTTCATCTGTGAGTGACAGAGAACACATTCCTGCTTGAAGATCTTCAGGACAGCCTGGAAGAAACGAAAGCAAAAGGCATTTCCTCTCTGACTTCCTTTCTTAAAGAGCAAGGTCTCACCCTCTCTAACCGTTAGCATGACTCCAGGTCCCTTGGAAAAAGATGTGGGAGGTCAGGGAGCCCACTGGGAACCCAGACTGCAGTTCAAGGGCAAGCAAAGATCACACTGACTCTCACTCCTGGGCACCCTGACATGGCTGATACTCGAGTCCCCATCAGGTTTGGCACTTGGACAGTTCAAGGCCAAGGGGCAGTGGCGGGGATATGATGAGAAATGAAGATGAGGAATGAAGACAGAGAATGGACTTCACCAGCCCTTGGCATCATTCTAGAGGCCATGTGAAGAATGGATTGAGGGGGTGACCATAGAGGCGGGGCAACTAGGAAGGCTATGGCTCTTTCCACGTTCAGCATCATCACCTGTCATCTGTTGGTGATTGCCATGGCAACAAAGCAGGTGGACAAATAAAGAGCATTGAGAAGTTAAATCAATCTCACTGTGTGTGTGTGTGTGTCTCCTCCCGCCCCACCCCCCGCTTTCTCTCGTCCTCTTCTCCCCGTCTTGCCTCCCCTACCTCTCCTTTGTTTTCCTCACCTGTCCCTGCCCTCCCATGCCCTCTGCTGCAGACTAGCTTCCAGTAAATCATGCTGTCATTCTGTGCCCCAGTCTTCCAGGGGGTCCTGGATTTCCTTCTCTTAACACTTGCTCTCTTTCAAAGAGAATTGCTCAAAAGACTTAGAATATTTACCTCAGAAACATCTAGAGCTGTTTAACTAAAGCCAACCAAACCAAAACAAAATACTACCCTTTCGGTGAATCTGCTCATTGAATAAATAATGCTCAGGGCTCACCAGAGCGGAGGTGGGAGGGGCAGAGGGAGAAGGAGAGAGAGAATCTCAAGCAGACTCTGCTGAGCGTGGAGCCCACCAGGGGGCTCAATCTCATGACCCTGAGATCATGACCTGAGCCGAAAGCAAAGAGTTAGATGCTTATCCAACTGAGACACCCAGGCGCCCCCAAAGACAGCTTTTAACAAGAACTGCTCTATCAGAGGAAAGGAGAACTAAGACCAAACAGCGAGGGGCTAACCTGTTCTCTAACTCAGAGTTCCTGAATGTGTTCTAGAACGTCTAGAACACATGAAACATAAAGTTTCATGTTATGAAAATATGTAAATAAAACAAATCATTAGAGGTCCATGACCTATGATCCTTGAAAAAGTTTAGCCTCTCTTGGAAGTCCCTGGCAGAATATTGGAGTAATGGAGTGATTAGTCTTGAAGTCCACTGTCATAGTCCATCCTGGCTGCTATAATCAGATACAACAGACTGGGTGACTTATAAATAAAAAATGTTTATTTCTCATAGTTTGGGAGACTGGAAGGCTGAGATCAGGGTGCCATTATAGCTGGGTGAGGACCCTCTTCTGGGTTGTAGAATTCTTTTTTTTTTTTTTTTAAGATTTTACTTATTTACTTGACAGAGACACAGCGAGAGAGGGAACACAAGCAGGGGGAGTGGGAGAGGGAGAAGCAGGCTTCTTGCCGAGCAGG